ATTGGGAGAAATCTTTAACTTGAAGTTGATTTGTAAAGGTAGTGAACTTGTCAGTAGTGAGGGGTTTTGTAAGAATGTCAGTTGTTTGAAGAGTAGATGGCACATGTCTAACAAGAAGAGTCTTGTTCTGAATTTTGTCACGAACAAAGTATAAGTCAATTTCAATATGCTTTGTTTTGCTGTGAAGAACAGGATTATGTGACATAGCTACAGTACTTAAGTTGTCACAGAAAATGGTGGGTGTTGTGTAGGAGAATTTGATCTCTTGAAGAAGAGACTCAACCCACATAATCTCTTGAGCAGCAAGAGCTAAGCTCCTATATCCAGCCTCTATGCTTGACCTAGACACTATGTTTTGTTTCTTTGACCACCAAGTGACAAGGTTAGGACCAGGAAATAGGCATGCTCCTAAAATAGACTTTCTATCATCAACATCAGTTGTCCAATCAGCATCACAGAAGGCTGTTAAAGTAAGAGGTTTTGAAATAGCAGCTATTTGCATATGCAGACCACTAGTAAGAGTGCCTTGCAAATATCTGAGTTTTCTTTTAACAACTGCCCAATGAGAGTTTAGTGGTTGACTTATAAATTGACAAACTTTGTTAACACTATAGGTAATGTCAGGTCTAGTAATGGTTGCATATTGCAAAGCTCCAACAATTGACCTATAGAAGGTAGGATCAGCATAATGATCATCACCCTTACAAGAGAATCTGCAAGTACTTTTCATAGGAGCTATAACAGGCTTAGCAGATGCCATGTTTGCCCTATCAAGTAGATCCCTAATATATTTGGATTGATTCATAAGGATAGAACCCTCAGCAAGATGTTTGATTTCAATTCCAAGGAAGAAATCAAGTTTGCCAAGTTGCTTGAGAGCAAAGGAAGTTTTGAGATCTCCAATCACTTTGTGAACTAGAGAAGATGATGGACCAGTGACAATGATGCCATCAACATAAACTAGAATGAATAATGGAGCAGTGGATGAAGTGTGCATAAAGAGGGAATTATCACACTTACTAACTACAAAGCCTAGATAAAGAAGGGTTGATTTTAGTTTCTCAAACCATTGCCTTGGTGCTTGTTTGAGCCCATAAATGACTTTATGAAGTCTGCATACTAATGATTTGTCACCAGTTTGAAAGCCAATGGGTTGATGCATGTAAACTTCTTCATTAAGCACTCCATTCAAGAAGGCATTATTGACATCAAGTTGTTCTAGAGACCATTGATAGGTAACAACAATGGTCAAAAGCACTCTTATTGTAATAGGTTTGACAACTGGAGAAAAGGTTTATGTGTAATCAATACCAAGTTTCTGATGAAAACCTTTGACAACTAACCTGACTTTGTACTTTAGTATTGAGTCATCTGGGTTTTCTTTGATCCTAAAAACCCACTTACATCCAATGGCTTGTTTTCCAGGAGGTAAAGAAACTAAAGACCAAGTGCCTAAAGCAAGCAAGGCATCATATTCAGCTTGCATTGCTTGTTTCCAAACAAGATCAGTTTAAGGTTGCTTTAGCATTGACAGGTTCACAATGAGTGAGAAATACCCTAGGTGCTTTGGGCTTAAAGATTCCAGACTTAGATCTTGTCTACATGGGATGAGAAGAAGAAATAGCAGTAGTAGTAGGTAAAGATTCATTGCTCAAAGGTTCAGTAGCTGAAGATTCTGGAACTTGTGAAGGAAAATCAGTGGATGTAGGTGACCCAACATTGAGAGGAGAGTGTGCATAAGTAGAGGCAGCATTTGTAAGTGGTGTAGGAGGACTGAAAATACTTGGTAGAGTGGTAGTGTCAAGAGAGGTTGAAGAACAGTGATGCTGAGGTGAAAAACTTTGAACAAATGAGGCATTGAGTACAAATGGAAAATAATTCTCATTAAAGACTACATCCTTGGATATGTACATCTTTCCATCCTTAGTCATACACTTGTAACCTTTGTGATTTGGTGAGTAGCCTAAAAAGACACACTCAGTACTTCTAGGTTCCAGTTTGTGTTTATTGAATGGTCTAAGAAGAGGAAAACACAAGCATCCAAAAACTTTGAGAAATCCATAGTCAGGAGCAACACCATGTAACACCTCAAAAGGAGACACATTATACAAAGTAGGTGTAAGATTTCTATTAATGAGGTAAATGGCAATGGTAAAGGCAAATTCCCAAAACTGCATAGGAAGATGAGCATGAGACAAGAGAGTTAATCTTGTCTCAACTATATGTCTGTGCTTTCTCTCTACTGTACCCTGTTGATGATGTATGTGTGGGCAATAAATTATATGATGAATTCCTAAAGACCTATGATAAGTGGTGAAGGGTCTAAATTCACCATCAAAGTCACTTTGGACAGCCTTAATGGTTGTACCAAATTGTGTTTTGACTAGATTAACAAAAATCTGAAACAGGGACAAAGTTTCAGATTTCTATTTTAACAAAAACGTCCAAGTGAACTTAGAATGAGAATCTACTATAGTAAAATAGTATATGAAACCAGAATACGAATAAGTGGGTGCAGGACCCCACAAATCAACAAACACAAGATCAAAGGATTGATGATAAACAGTGGAAGACAAAAGAGCATGCAATCTATGTGCTTTACCCACGCAACAAGCATTGCAAGGAGTGTGTAGATGAGCAGAGTCAGAAGTGAGATGATGAGTGGCTCCCGAGTCTGGATACCAAGTCGAAGGTTTGGAGGCTTTTGTTTGAGCAGTCATGGCATGAGGTGTGTAAGGAAATGAAGAATGATGTTGACCACGTGAAGTTGTGCCAAAGGGAATTGAATTGAAATGTGATGAAGAAGAATAGTAGGGATAGTTTGAGGTTGAAAAAAGTTGAAATGAAGAAGGAAAGTAAGATTGATCATCAAGGTGTGGATAATGGATCGAAGTTCGTGGCCCATGAGAAAAGTTAAATGAGTTATGGATGGATGAGTATTCAATCCATTTGATTTTTTAATTGGAACTAAAAACACTTTTGAAGAAAATCATTCTTTTAAAAACCATAATTTCAATAAAGTATTTTTTAAAATCAATTTTAAAATTAATTTGTTTTCAAAAGTTTTTTACTTTTTTTAAGAAACACTTTTTAGAAAAAGTGATTCTTTGACGTTTAAAAAAAAATATTGTTTTTCCCACATTCAATAATCATCATGTGATGTTTAAGGTTTTGCGCATAAAGTTTTTAATAAATATTTATATATATATATATATTATGTTATTAAGTACAAACTTTTAATATTAACTACATATACATGTCTTATAATTGATTTTAATTTAATAAAAAAAATCAAAGTGAGAATGAGAAGCACTACAAGAAAGTGAAAGTTGAGATAATAAATGAAATTAAAAAGCAAAGAACACCATTTGTGAATATTTGTTTTTTTTTTGATAGATTATGTATCTATCCGAATAGTTATATTCATGAATATCTATTGGATATAATGGATAAATTCAAATTCACTCATAACTGAAATTATTTATTATATTACATCCACTTAAATTTATTAGCTCTAGTGGATGAATTTGTATGAATTTAATTTTCTTGGATTTTGATAATTGTGAAAAATTAATCATAACCATGTTAAGATTCAATTTTCAATTCATGAGAACATGGCATGGATGGAGAACAAGAAGAAAATTGTGGGTGACTCTATGGAAGTGGTTTTACGGTTAGACATGGAAGTGATAATTCCTTTTGAGAATATTTTTACTTAGAGGTGAATCTAAAAACATTCATCTTCTTTGATATAGGATGTTGAGATCTAGGTATGGACATACAACTACTGACTTTTCAGAAATTGTGGCCATTACACCTTCAGAGAAAAGTTCACTATAGATTAATTAGGGTTTCAGGCAACTTAAATATGGTCTTTTTGGCTAATCAAAAATGATAATATCTTCAACTCAATTAAGATATCTACTCAAAAAGTTGTAGAAATAACAATGATAAAATCTAGCTTTGGATTAATGGGAGGAGCAATAAGCCTACCATGACCTACTATAACTGGATTGTGAACCCTTGTAATTGTCTTATAAAATTGCTTTAAACCATTTATTTTTCTTGGACATCATTTCCCCCCCTAAATTTTAGTCTTGTAAATTCTTGTAATTTTGTAAGTTTGGTACCCTACAATCTCACGGACCTACTTCATTAAATCCGTGTGATACACTATTATTAAGTTGTAGAAATGCTGACAACTTTATGAGTCCTCCTTTTCTTTGAATTATTATTACTTTTTCATCTCCATGTGTAAGACATATATAATTAATTCATATATATTAATTTTTTTTACTAAACAGTAAAATTACCTATTCAATTATTTATAGAAAGTGAAAGATTTATTAAAATACGTAGGGAGTAATAAATAAAGACAGTAATTATGAATGAGTATATTTTATATATTATTTAATATCACCTACGTATTTTAAAATAAATTATAATTAGAAATAAATAAAATTTCTTAAGTCTGACTAATAAATAGGGAAATAAGAAGGATTATTTAGGTTACCCACACAGAAAGCTAACATATTCAACTTTTTAATTAGTGTTAGAGAAAAAACTGATTAGTAATGGAGTATGATATGTTGTTCTCAAGCATGTTTTTAATTATGTTCCGTATCAATTAAAATGAAATAAAAATAGAAAAAGTCATAAATGTTTAATTTTTTAATTAACATGTCATATTTTGATTGATACGGTACACGCTTGAGGACGTGTTTGGAAACATCATATTTTTTTTTTTTTTTGTCAGTGATAACCAAAATTCTTATGGGGATTGATGGGGATATACAAAAAAATAATAATAAATAAAAGCCTCAAATTCTGCTATAAATACCACACATTCCCCTTTGCTAAATCTACTACTTTTCTCATATTTCTTTACCTTCGTCTCCCTTAAATGGGATTCTACATCATCCATATGCCATTCTTATCAAAAAGAAAAAAAATACTCATTTTGTTTTAACTGTATCTTCAGTCTTCAACATACTGGTCCTCTTTGTATTCTTCCACAGCTTTCTTGAACTGCATCTAAGAGTTCCTTTGCATGCATGTCATGTACTCTTAAAGATCGCGGTTCAATAAAGCTGTGGGAAGATACAGAAAAGGGTCATATACAAACTTTTGAGATCTCAAACACCATTCAGCTAGAATGCTTAATTTTGCAGTAGTTCTCTCTTTGGTTGTGGATGGTTTCTATCTTTTGTAACAGTCTAGTGTGTGTTTTTTGTCATGGTTTGCTGCAGTGTTTTAAAATGCGTTCTGCAATATATAATGCAGACGCAATAATGCGGATGCGGCCGACAACGTATCGGCAACGCACCGCAATTGCGGTGGGATTGAATTTCACACCAAAAACCGCAACAAAACACTATTGCGGCCGCATCGGGCCGTAACGCAACCGTATCGGACCGCATCAATCTGCATCGTATTCAAAAATATTGTTTTAATCACAAAATATTCACACCGTAACGGCCGCAATCCGCATCGCAAATGGTCGCAATGACCGCAATCACAGTAACTATAACTGTTAACGCAACCGCAATTTAAAACACTGGTTTGGTGTGACTTTAGACATTTCATCTTTTAATTTCTTGTGTACTATTGGTACCCATTCTCTATTTTGACAAAAAAAATAAAAAATAATCAAAACTTTTCGTTTTTTATGTTTTCAGATCACTTATGATTAAAAACATTGATGTTATATATGTGTATGTATTTTTGAGATAATGAATAGCAAGCATCAAACAGTGAATCATTTCTCAAAAACTTATTGAATGGATGTATGATGATTATGATTCACAAGCATATTGCCTCCTTCTCTTCTCAAGATTTAACTGAGCAATTCAAAAGTATAAGGAATTTCAGTTCCCAAATTTGAAAGATGTGAAATTACCTATTTTCATCTCATAGTTAGTTATTTACTTAATTTATTTAATAATATTCTACCATTTTATACATAAACCATCTCATAGTTTGTTCAAAATATGATATATTTGTTACCCTTTCCTTACCCTTCTTTCTATTTTAGTTTTGTCAAATCATAAAATGGCAAGTATATAATACGGTCGGAGAATAATTTGTACAAGATAAGCATTTTTGATGCGTTGTATAGATCAAAAGATCTTAATGTTAGATTTGATATATGTTTTTACTTTGTGGTCTAGCCAGCTAGTTCTGTCTGTTTTTAATATAATTATTATTATTTGAATGATTTCTACGTTAACTGTCCCATCCCATGTGTAGCCTCCATTGCAGGCAAGAGTTACAACTTATTGTGGCTATTATATCATTATATGAGCTTTTTTATACATTTCATCATACCTCTGATCTGTACTTTTATACTGTTTCAGTCAGCAAAAAGTTACAGAAGTTTCAGTAATTTAACATACATACATTCCAGCCTGCAAATTCAGCACCCGATTAAGTTTCATTGTCTATTAAGTAATCACTTTTATAAATTTTAATCCATTTCGGAGTGTTTGGTTACTCCTTTTAACAAATGTCGCTCCCAGGAATCGAACTCTTAACATTTTAATGAATCTGTTTGGGTTTTATTTGTTAGGTAGTATTGTGGAGTCTCCAAAGGGGTGGGGATCTAGATTTAAAACTGCTTTACTACATTGTTTCATATACATAATGTTGTTATTTTAATCACATTAAAATGAGAAAGAGAGTGTATATATATATCTAGATTCATCCTTGCCAGAACAAGATATTATTTTAAAAATATCTGCAAGTGACAACAAATACTTTTTTGTTTTAGGTGCATGCACAGCTCAGGGACTAACTGGACGAAACATTTTCAGTTAGAGATTGTTTAGACAATGGACCACATTGCTTTTATGTTTCTATGGGAACTTGCAAGGACATACGAATGTGTTTAAGCCATTGGTTAGGGACCATACCTAGATCAGGCCATGTGCACCTTTTATGGAAAATATTTGCAAATAAAAACACCAAATAGGTTTAACCAAGAAAATTACTATAGTCATTTTGGTTATAGAACAAAGAAACCTAGCTAAAAGCAATGCATATATATATGCATATTGTGAAGGAAGCTATCTAGGGTTTTTCTTTTCACAAAGTTAGAGGACAAGCATTTTGCAAAAAGAGGGAGTTTTAGATCACCTGCAAAGTACTAGTATTATTTTATTCTTATGCTACCTAGTTCTAAGACATAGTTTGAATCAGACTCTAGTTTTTGAAAATCCCGGAGGCAGGTAGAAATTCCAAACAACGAATGAATTTTTGGGCATAAAAAAGATAGAACTGTCTTGCATGGCCTTTCAGAAATTGTTGATTCCAATATTACTGTTTTCCAGATATCTGTTTTCCTTATTTTATTAGTACATGTAGTGGTGGTGAGCTTCAGCTTCGAGAATTTTAGTGGGACATTTCAGATGGTGCTATATTCGAGAAATTATTCATATTCCAATACCAAGATTGATAATTCGGTACACATTAGTTTTATGTCAAGTAAAATTCGGGACACATTTTGGACCAATCTTATTAAACGATAAGATCTAAGTAGTGTGAATGAAGTAAATAAGTTTTTAGATGTTATATGGGATAGGAATGTGTTACTCAAATTTAAGTAATTTTTTACCACATAATGTCGTAAGAGTTCAAATGATAGGTGTAGAATGCTAATATGAAAATAAACTTAATCTACATAACATTGTCAAAAATGTTGAATTTCATAACTGAACACACTAAACAAATATAGATTTAGAATGTATTATAGAGCAAGTTGATCATGTTACTCCTATTGTAGAAAATGTGATAAAATCTCAGTATTTTAACATATAGTTATTCTTCTCTCTTCAATCTCTGAAAAAGCATGAGAGGTGAGCAGAGAGTGAGAGGTGAACAACGAGCGAGAGTTGAGCAGCAAGTGAGACGTGAGCAGTATGGACGTGGGCAGCAGAGAGAGTCAGGGCATTCAGGCTCCTTCAATCAACAACAAATCTTCAAGGCTTCCACAACCTTCTTCTTCACTAATTTCCCGCCGGACCATGATTCTAAGGAGATGTGGGAAATTTTCAGCAAATGGGGTAAAGTCGTTGATGTCGTTATTCCTTCAAGGGTGGATAAGTATGGGAAAATTTTTGGATTCGTCCGATTCCTTAACATCTCCAACAGAAAATCCTTTGTGGTTAAGTTGGATAGGATATGGATAGGTTCCTTCAAAATTTGGATGAATATTCCAAAATATAGGAGGCAACGCTTCACGGACCACACTAACAAAAATTCCATAATTCCTTCTGAACCTTCTGGTGGCTCGGTGGGGGCTGCCAAACATTCCCTCTGCGACAATCGCAAATTTGTGGATGTGGTCAAATCTGGACGTTCTCCGTCTCCAACAAGAGCCACTCCCAAATAGACGGTGGTTGTGGTCTTCAAAACCTCAGATGACACTCCATTGTGGCTTCATAACAGCTTCTTCGGGATCGTCGCAAACCACGTTGATCCGGGAACTTTGAAAGAAAAGCTATTTCGTGATGGTTTCTTGACCATTCATCTTACCCCTTTGGGTGGTCGGTCGTTTCTCCTTCGCAGCGAGGAAGATGGTGATATTGAGGCTTTCTTAGAAGGGGAACCTGAGTGGTTTCAGAGTCGGTTTCGTGTTCTTCGCAAGTGGGTGCCGACGGATTTGGCCTCAGAGAGATTCATATAGGTTCGTTGCTATGGTGTCCCTCTACATGCTTGGGAGGATAATTTCTTTAAACTTTTAGCATCTTCTTTGGGGACCTTCCTTGGACTGGATCATTGGACTCGTTCTCATCATCATTTGGAGTATGGACGGTTTCTTGTCGCTATCCCCTTCCTTGCTTCTGTTGATAAATCTTGTATGGTGAGGATTGATAACATTGACTATGTAGTTAAACTTGTTGAAGAAAAGGTTCATTGTTGGCATCAATGTGGCAAAACCTCCTATTCCATACTTACCACTAACTCTAGCACTTCTGATTCTGAGTGTTCATGGTTGGATCGGGATCCGCTTGGCTGTCCTCAGGACTGGGCGGTAGAGGTTGAAGATGATGATGTGCTGGCTTCGTTGGAGCGAGAATTGGACAGTCAGGCTTAGGTGGGTGGGTTCGCCGTGCAGCCCTCCTTGGATGTTGACTCCGACGTGGTGAAAGAGGCTGAGATGGGTTTAATTGTTAACCAATATGTGAAGGGAGGTACCGCTTTGGAGTCCTCTACCAGTCTTAATGGTATTGAAGGCAAATCTGGATTCAAGGGATAATTTATTGATGGTTCGGCGCCCCATTTATTGGGGGAGGGAAGTAATGATGAGGTTCCTTTTTTGGGTTTTGATAATTCTACTTTTTTTATGGCTATTAAAGAGGCAAAAACGGTTGGCCCCACTACACTTTCTAGTGCTACGAATATTGGGAATGGTCCTCTTGATTTTGAATTTTCTAATGCTATTAATATGGAAATATCAGTTGACCCCACCACTACTATTCCTAGTGCTCCGTTTTCGAAGGAGGATCCTACGCTTGATTTTTGCAAGGCACATATTCTGTCATCCGGTGATTTAGATAAATCATTAATGAGTATTCCTTCTTTGACTGATATCATTAATGTGGAAATTAATGAGGAAATTAAGTCTCCCTTGAGTAAAAAAAATATTGATACTCTAATTCAATATCCAATGCCCCTTTTTCTCCTATACTCCCTCAACCCCCCACTCATAGTGCCTTAGGTCTTCTCCTCCCTACCCCTATGTGTCCTAGTTTGAAACCACTTTCCCATTCTTCCTCTATCCCACAACCAAAAGCCACAACCATGTATAAAACGCCTCAAATGATCCATAACCACCAAACTCGTAAACACTCACCTTCTCCTTCACTACCATCCTCCAACCCACCCAACCAAATTTCTAAACATCGGCCAGTAGCCCACAAAAAATCCGTCCGGTTTAAGCCTCAATGTCCGGAATCGATAAGTAAAAAATATCCAAAAGAGTTTGAATTATGGGTTGATCTTCGGGACCTCCCTCCCGTTCCTTCCTCCTTTAAACCTCAAACTTGTACTATCTTGCATGATACAAATGGTGGGGCGCTCGGTCCTATTGGCTCCTCATCTCGCTGCAA